TATTAAAATTTACTTATCATTAAAGGCTCGGAAGTTTGTGAAATCTTATAATAAACTGCCCCTCATTACGATGCAAGCATAAAGTCTACAACAATAGATTTTATTCATATTTAAGCATTTATATACGCAATTATATATTGTTTTTAGAAATATTCGTGTAACGCCGTTACTTTTTATCATTACTTTATAATAACGATTTGATAATAACGTTGCGAATTTTTTATGGCGATAACGCCAAATTGAAAAAGTCAATAGTTATTTGTCATCTAAATCAAGTACACTAAGAAATAATTTCCCATCAAAATTTGTAAACTTCCGAACCCTTGCTCATTACATACGAAATTAAGTTATATACAAGATTTACAATTGTTTATTCTAATTTTGTGCAAATTATAATTATCAAGTCAAATGTAACAACTAATAAATTATAAAACGGAACAAACATCTCCTTTATCATTAAAAAAAATCTGTATTGCTTGAAATATTTGACAAATTAAAAAATTTCTTTTTTTTTTTTTTAAATAAATTTTTAGTAGATAATGATGAAAAGCATATATCTCAATTTGTATATCTCAATTACAGGCACAAACATAGCATGACTGATCGTATCTCTTCGAATCAAAAACTTTACATTTTATATTCTTTATTCTGGATTAATCACCGATCATTGCATGCATGTTACTAGTCATTAAATAAATTTTTTATGCAAACGATAACATTATTTTTTTATGGGTATCTACAATAAAGAGTCTTTGTATAAGTAATCACTCCTTTTTATCTTGTAAATTTAGAGATAGAGTTAATAAATATAATATCAAATTAAACGATTCTATCTAAACTCTATTGCAAGCATAGTAATCACTCAGAAAAATTATCCACCTTAGAGACCGGAGGGATATACATCATTTTTACATGTAAAATAAATAATACGACATAATAAAGTTGTAGCGTTTATTCTAACGAACATAACGATGTACAATATAACAAAATTATTTTATAAATTATGTAAGTTATTTCGATTTAAAATTTTACAACTAATACCTTTTCAATTTCAGCCCTGCAATATGATTAACTTTCGATTTTCGCATTGACAATTAACATGTTGTCATTTAATCAATATGAGAATCGGAAGTTTGATACCACAGGGCCTAAATTGAAAAAGTATTAGTTGCTCGCAAAACATTAAACCGAAATAACTCGTATAATTTGTAAAATAATTTTGTTATATCATACATCGTTGTATCCAGTAAATGAGAAGAGATTAAAATGGATTAAAATTTTATTTAATTATATATACTTTAAATCCATGAAAATGGATTGAAATGGCTTGAATCCGAGCTGACACTAGTTTAATATTCGAAAAAAAAAAAAAAAAACATTCATATTTAAGGATTACAAATTTTCTAAGACATTTATAATAATTATACCCGAAATTAATTACTTCAAATTGATATTAAAAAACGCCTTAGGTAAGATTTGAACCTGGGATCTCTGAATTATGAATCTTCTACATTACCCGCTATATCATTTTTTCAATTGGTAAATGTGTTATTCTCTACTTCAAGTACAACCAGCTAAACCAATGCACGAAATTATATACATATAATAAAAATATCATTATTTAACAAATAAATAAAATATAATCAATTTACATTATTATGAGACTTTTTTTGTTATATCATGCAAATTCTTGAATATTGATTTTGCCCTTAATTCCTCACTGAATCTAAGTGTATAAACCATCGTATTGAAAAATCAATCGTATTGAAGAATTTTACAACAGTTACAAAGCTGCTTTTTCTAAAATGCTAAATGCAATCATTGGGTAAGTATCGGATAATCTAATCTCGCTTAGCCGATGTCGCGCGCCGTGATCAGCGTAATATTTGGGCTATGTTCGACTTGATTTGCGTGTGTTCACATCGATCATTCATTTTACTTCTAATCAAAGAGAAACAAAAGAACATAGCTCAATTATTTTTACGTTACAACTTTTTTGAACTTAGATTAAAAATTTCTTACTTATAATTTTGAATAATTTAAATAGCATTTATGGTTCATTTTAAAAGAAAAACTTTTTTTCATTCAATTGGATTAAAAAACTACATTTCCTATTCAAAATTTTGAATTGAGCAGCATTCATAATGCAAAATACTATATTATTTTTAGATTGAAAAGGATTCATTTTAATATTCATGGATCCCTATTTCTGAAAATCTGAATCCATTTTAATTTATTTCAATCCATTCTCGTTTGCTGGATACTCATTAGGACGAGCGTGACAACTTTTATTATATCGTAGTAAAATCGTTTAATTTGATATTATATTTATTTATTATATTTATTAGGTCTATTTCTGTTAGTTTACGAGATAAAAAGGAGTGGCCACTTTATACAATACCTTGTAGATATTGTATACTGTGTGGGAAATTCGATTACTCGGGCATAATACCCAAATTAATTCTTACCGTACAAGGAATTTAGTGCTTCATTCATACAAACAGTCACTAGATCCGTCGTTTTTTTCATGCCATTCATTTTCCTATTCAGAGGCATATTCGAATTTCTATCTGTGCTCCCTGGATGTTATATCATCCTTGTTGTTTATTTAACGAACGTTAAACAAGGATGACACCCGAAGAACACCCAGATGAGAATCCGAACACGCCTCTGAATGATTAAAAAAATCCCTAAAAATTCACTAACATACTTTCTAGAATAAATATTGGAATTTCATTTTGGAAAATAATAAAATGTAGTATAATTTATAATTACCGAAAAACTCAAATAAACTTGCATAACAGGAATCACTCGGTCACTAGTAACTCGTATTTGTAGGATAAGAGTTAATTAAATTTCCCGTGCCTTTTTCTTTTTTAGAAACAACTAATAAAGCTTTAATGAGCACAACTGAATCCATGCTCATTAAATTGGCACGTGTCACTTCAATTTATTTATGGCACTAAATACATTCATTATATTAACATTTAATGTACCTATTTATAATCGAATATCTCCTCCCTCCCTCTCTCTTTCCAATTTATAAATTTATAAAGATTATTTTACAAATTATGCAAAATATAAAAGAAAAGTAGAAAGCTTTAAAACAAAAATTTTAATTCGTTAGAAAGTGGACGACAATGCAGCTTAAGATCTTTACAAAATCCAATAAAGTTGTTCTCTCTCTAACAATTTTTTCTTTTAATACGCGTGTGTATTACATGTTGCTGTAGGTATTTATTAGCATTGATTTAAATTACGTAAAAATCTTAACCTCTTCTATTATAATTTAGTCGTCTCATTGTAGCTTTCATCATAACTTGATGGCATTGAGTAATTGGTTCAATACTAATCGTTCATGAGTATATCGTTCACAACCTCTCAATATTCTAAATGTCATATCTAATCTCTTGACTGCGACTTTAATTTGTTGTTTTCAGAAGGTTAAAGCACTAATTATTAAATACACAAAGAGATTTTTCGATAGCTCTTGCTATATTTAATAATTAGTCATCAACAAACAAAAAATATGCACTGCTTTGTTCCACAATCTTATTTCGTATTCGAAAAAAAAAAAAAAAAAATGTACATCTGTCAATTTCATATCAACTACGAAGCTCTGAGTAATTTGAATTCAAAATCATATTAATCAATCTTATTTCTGCTTATATCTAGGATATAGTATTTTCAATATTTTCAGTATTCGTTATCTGCGAATTTGTCGAATCAATCTCGGATTTCCGATGTTTTTCCAAATACCTTCTCCGTGCTGTTAATCTCATATGTTCTTTTCGTCGTTGAAGTATAAGTTCTCTCTCAGCAGATGATTTCGAAAAACGACCACCAAGACTCGAAGGTTCTTCTCCACTATAAAAATAATATATTTACATGTAGATTTACCTCATGAAAAATAAAATATCCTAGAATATCTAGAGTATGAGCAATATAACAAAACATGTTCATCTCGATTTACGATTTTAGATTTTTAATAGATCGGGTACCGTATATTTCTTAACGTATAAATACAGATAATATTAAAGATATAACTTAATATATTTATATTCTTAATATTTCAAGTCTTTTTTACCTATCGGCAAAAGGAATATCGAATCTAGGATCCGATGAATTTTGGATCGAAGAGCTGGGCGTAATATTTGTCACAATCGTTTGCATTTGTGGGACGGATTCTTCTTGCGGTTCTTCGATTAAATGGTGTGGTATAGTTAATATTCCATCAAGTATATTCTCAATTGTCCATTCAACCGATCGAGTCATTCTAAGATCTTCTAGGATTATATTGCGAGGATAATGAGGAAAAAGTAGTTGTACCTAATAAATATATTTGTTAGAATAAATTTTTTCTTTTACAAGATCTATAAGAAATTTAAAATTGATTTACATTCTTTATACATAATAAAGTCGACACACATGCACACATATATTATATGTATATATTACCTGTCTCGCCATTGCGTCCATCTGGGAATTAGTATGTGCAAATGTAGATATGTTACCACGTAATCTGTTGTGCGAGACCTCGACGGAAAAACTAGGTAACCAAGATACATATCTCGATGCATCGAGAAAGAGGAAAAAATGGTTACTATTTCTTCTCGTAGGGGTTTGTGGATCAGGAGGTATCTCTAGAGTGTTCTCTCTATGATTCGCTTGCATACTCAAACCCAATCGACACGTGGGACATGATGTATCCTGTTCTAACCAAGATTGTAAGCATGAGTTGTGAAACAAATGCGTACAGGGTAATTTACGAGCGTTTTCCATCTTCTCCCAACATATGGCGCAGTTATCAGAGTTTTCGGCTAACTCATCTTGTGATGCCATTGGATAACTAAAAATATTGAAACAGTTATTTATCTAAAAAAAATTATTGATTATTTGTAATTTAACGCGATTACAAAGAAGTTTATAGATTCTTATATATTTAAAAAAAAATAGAATAAAATGCAAACTTGCAACAATATAAAATGTTATATGATTATTACAATTTATTATTTCATCAAAGATAAAGCTTAAGAGAAATTATAATTAATATTCGAATTTCCGATGATATTTGGAATTTTCATTAAAATTTGTGCGTATATATATATATATATACGTGTGTATATATGCGTATATATGCGCGCGTGCGTGTGTGTAAGAAAAATTTCCAGAATAAGATGCAAATATATGACATTCTATCTATGGACTTTTAATACGCTATAAAGTACTTGATTTTATTTAATATAATTTTATAAATAAAATCTAAAATAATGCACAAGATCTAAAATAATGCATAAGATTATAATACAATAAAATCAAAATAATAAAATTGCCCCTAATTATGTATAAATGCACGTTACGTACTTCTGTTCCATATGATTTAGTACAGCCAAATAGTTTCTATGTTTTGTAATTCTCCGTTGTATCTCGTAGAACAAATATCTCAATTGCATACATATTACTAGCGATGCCATACTCAAAAGGATGTTACTCCACAAAAGCATGTGAACATGATGAAAAAAGTCGACTGCCAGCACAATTAATTCCGAAATCAAATCCGTATAGTAAGTCAATGGACCACGTTTATCCCAAGATCGTTGCGCCGAAGTGCCGGCACCACGAGTATCATACAGGTGAATCAAATAGCGTAACATCACGTGAATCGTACGGACTCCAAGTAGAATACACTATAGAACAAATAATTATAAGATAAAGTCATTATATTGTATTGTCCGGAAAATTCGTGCCGACTAACTTATATAATTTAATAAATGTATACTAAAATTTAAATTTTCTGCGTTTCAATTTTTCTTCAACATCGGCACGAACTTTCCGGACCCAATATTTTAGACAGACAGATTTGATATTTTCCCAATGTTCATTCAAAACTAACTACTTAAACTAACTATTTTAACTAACAAAGAATTTGAACAATTCACATAAACACACACACACACACACACACACACACACACACACACACACATACACACATGTGCGCGCGCATAATATGAAAAATTCTGAATTCTGGCTGAAAAATTCTCAGACAAAAATTCTAAAAGAATTAACAAAACATCAGTTTTATTGATATCTACATGATCTCCTCCTCTTTACAGTGATTGAAGCTATCATAATACTTTTCTTCCGGAAAAGACGATTCCGAAAGAATAATATTATAATAGTTTTCAATCATTGTACCATTCTATTAAATGTATCAAAAGAAAGGGAACTATTGTATGTAGAAGCCTTACTAAGAACTTTTTGGACATATTGTGTGTGTGTGTGTGTGTGTGTGTGTGTGTGTGTGTGTGATACTCGAAATTGAATAGTTTATAAATAGTGATCATAAAATTGATGTCGATAAATAATTAACTGTTACATTGCTTACCTCAGCTGCCATAAAAGCAAAAGTATTGAAAGATATGAAAAAGAAAGCTGCAGCGATGCAGAATAAAAGCATGAAGGAAGATAGCACAAGTATTGCCGCCAATAATACGAGAAGTCGCGCATGACTCCATCCTGGCGTGGTGGGTGAAAAGGACAGCTAAAATATAAAAATTATACATTATAATATATATACTTCTTGAGACATAGTATAATGGTACTTGATTAAAATCATTATAAAATATGACAAAAAAACATTCCAGAATCGAATGTGCTTATTTTAAATTAATATAAATCTATATAGCACGCAAAGTCATATAAAAGATATTTCTATTATATTTTCAAGGTTAATTGCCTTTGTGACATGTCTTATATTTCTTCATTATACTCACATATTCAAATCGATCTTTACAAAGTTGGCTAAGAAGACTCAGGAAGCCAAGCGCCAAAAACCATACACACCAGAGTACAATTTCGTCCATGTATTGTACATTCAAAACTCCAAAAACGAAGATAAACTTGTAAAAAAGAAAATTCCAGAACTTGTCTTTCAAATGGTGGTTCTCTGAGGCACGTAGTTCGCCAAATACAAGCTTTTGGATGGTTTTGCCAAGGAGAATCAACATGCAGTTAGCCATGTTGACTAAAGTCTGTAAATCATAAAAAAACAAATTATAAGAGATGTATAATTGATAACATTATTAAGTGAAAAATATAAAATAATTTTAGATATGCATATAGTTGAAATTTTTTAAGAGAGAAAAATTTATTAATTTTAGGAGAAATAAAAATGTTAATTAAAATATAAATTATAAATCTGATTCAATGCTTCTTTTTTAACACTGATAATTAAACTAAATTTTTATAATAAAATAAAAAAATAAATTATACATTTTTTATTGCTCAATTTATTTTTTATATCTTGTATCAAAAATAATATGAATAAATGTTTTCTAACATGCGCATTCTAAATAGACGACAGATAGTTTAAATAAATGTTGCCTAATCATTGCCAAATGATAGAAAGGCCATCTAATTTTAGGCTGAAACTTTTCTCCGTTTCAATGTCTCGCTAACAAAATTTTGAAATACACTGCAGTTATTCGAGGTGTTCGTTAGAAAATTTTGATATACACATCGAAATGGAAATTTTTTTCCTTATCACACACACACACACACACACACGCGCGCGCGCGCGCGCGCGCACACATATACATACAGAATAGGAAAACATTTGAATCTTCAATAATGTCATTTTATTGATAAAACGAAATAATTTCTTAAATCTACAAAATAATTAATTGCAATAGTAGAAAATTTGGTGTATAATTTGGTGTATAACGTCACCCATCTTGAATATCTTTATTGACTCGTAAAGATAATTTGACAATTAAGCGATAAATATAATTAAAGAACGTTTTACAATAATTTACAGAACATAACATAACAATTTTTCGCTTGTTGATAATTGTTAAACTTGAAATAATTTTATAACAAATATAAATAACGATCGAAATTTCAATCTTAAAAGATAATAATCTAAAAAAAGAGATGTAGCTCTTTTTCTATATTATATTATACAAATTAATGTATTTAACCGCAGATAAATCATAGTGTGAATCTAACGCAATGCAAAAATCAATTTGGAATATTTATTCGAAAGAAACAATCGTCAAACAAATCATACGATAGCTGCATAATTTGTCTGACAATTATATACGACAATTATAATGAAACATGTAATGACATAAGAGAGGAAGACAGCGCGTTCTGCTACCGACTGTCACGAATGTTAATTTCCTGCTTTAAAAAAAAAGTATATTCTTCAAGTGTGGCATAAACGGAATTGTTTATAATCTATTTGATTTGATCGCGATCGAAAATTTATTACGTTAAATTATTATTAAACAATCCATAAAACACATCTTGGTCCAATTTATCAATTTGATCATTTTATCAATTTTATCATTATTTTTTTCTCGCTTTAGCTCGCTTGATAAGACAGATGGTCATTAGTTATTATATACAGATAGAAGACAAGAAGACAATGCAAACTATAATTTGAAAATTACTTTATAGCTAATTATAAAAGGCAATAGATTATGTAAAGAATAAAACTTTACAATGCCATCTACTCTTCGAAGTTTCTGACACTAAGTTTTTCAAAAGTGCAACGATATGATATAATATCGAAAGAAAATTAAAAAATGCGTAAAGCTTATGTATTAGGCTTTATTATACTCTTAATTAGACTTATTAATTTTATATTCATTTATTTGGAATAAACATACCCAAACACAGACAGGTTCCATCACCATACATTCCAAGAGTTCTTTAAAGTGTGTGCCAAGACTTCTCGGATCAGTCGGATCGAGAATGTCATCTCCAGAATGGACTCCGATATCAACATGCGTATGATTCGTTTTCCAAGCAGGATCCTTGATTATTTGAGTGGCATAGTATATAGAAAAGGAAAGTATGGTGACGCTTATGGCGGCATACACTCGAAGATTTGGAAATGGTAACCGCTCCAAAAATTCCATCGGCATGATTGGAAGAATTTCGGAATTTCCACTTGTGTGTTAAAACACTTGTTAAATCTGTAATCAAAAAATTTTAGTCACAGCTCATAGCTAAAGACTTATTTTCTTTGCAATCAAGTATCGTTACAAGTTTTAACAGATCCTCTAATCTTTCAAATCTTATATATAATTTAAAAAAGGAACCAAACAAAAAAGTAATAAAATCTACATTAAAAAAATAATGTCGTTCTATCAAATTTAATAATCTCGACAAACACATGACATTTTCAATAAACGCATATTTATTTATATGAGATTTGCGTAAAATCATTTATCGCATCGTTAATATTGACAAAATACTGTAATATTAGAATGAAGCTATATATATTTATAACGATGATGATTTTCGAAAAGTTTCGAGAAATAAAACTGCAGGTGCGTTTGGTAACGTTTAAAAAAGTAAGTGAGGCATAATCTTGAGGTAAAACAATACGGCGATCATGTGACTCAATGCATATCTATCGCGCTGCATAGTTGCACGATATCGAATGCGACAAATCCACGTCGCGTTGATCGCTTCGGCTCTGCATCACACTCCGCATATCGCCACGTATATATACATATAATGCGCGTCGCATATGGCATACGCCAGCCGTGCTTACGACGTTATAACACCAATTGCACACGGCAGTTGTTGTATATGTATAGTATAATAGTACGATGAGGCACAACCTTCGGTCGTCCGGTGCTCCATATTCTGATGTTTACCAAAGTAAACGTTACTCCCCGTGATGAAAAAAAGGGGAAAGAAACGAATTCGTTTCGAGGACAAGAGAGGTTCGAAAATTTATTTTTCGAGCCAACCCCTTCCTCCTCTCTCTCTCTCTCTCCCTCTCTCTCTCTCTCTCTCTCTCTCTCTCTCTCTCTCTCACACTCTCACTCTCACTCTCACTCTCATTCACTCATTCACTCAACTAATTCGGTGAATAACAATAACGATGGAGTTTTCACCGGAATGTCGTACGATATTACATTGTGATAGTCACGCAACAATACGCAATACTTCAATCTCGTGGTTAACTACTATCATTTATACCAGAGTTGGTAAAGATCAATGTTTTTCTTTTAGGAATAAAATATATTGTGTTTTTTCTTAAATATATTTTTAATGCTTCAAATATGCTTTAAACAGTACTATAAAAAAAACATATTAAAAATATCAATTACGCATGTTTTTTACCAATCGTAATTTATATATATTTATACATCCTAATTGGTGATACACGTTTAATATATCGACTGTATTTTGACGTTTAAGTTTAAAACCATCCCAGGAAAATAAACAACCGTTATTCGTTTTATCAGGCGCTATTCAAATCTGTAATGTACTATATAAAAACATTACTTGTTATCTTATCTTCGAATGTTTTGATTTTAACGATAATAACATGACCCTAAAAGCTTGTCGCGAATAGTAATATAGTAATAGTAAGCTAATAAGATGAAAAAATAATCGGAGAAAAATATAAAGCCTGCTGACAGTGTCGATTCGGAAGTAAGTTTAAAATCTCCAAGTCGATTTAAACTTTGACCTAGATTGAACACGATTCTCGAAATATAACATGTGAGAAATCGAAACATTGTATTCTCTGCCAAACACACTCTAAAGCACTCTTTCCATCAACATGTTTTTTTACTTGGTATTTGCACAAATAGCAATTGATCTCTCTAATGTAGCGACGTTATTTTAGAAAAATTCGAGGAGCAGAAAAAAGGAAGAATTAAAATATAATGAAACGCATATAAACAAGTGTTATCTATCGTACACGATATTTTTCGACGACAAGATCTAATGCCTCTAGATGATTAAACGTGGCCGTCATCATATAATAATTAGGTAGTCGCGGCGAGGAAGTAATTAGATTGCACAGCAAGGATCGAATTACGGATCAAGCATGTTAAAAAAATGGAAAGGAAATGTCCTTTGGAACAAAATATCCCCGCTTGCTTTTGGAGACTGAGTGCGAGTTTTAAGCGTGGTGAATCCTCTATCTACGCCAAACATTGATCGATGGGTCGCGCCGTGCTAGTCGCGCGAGTCACAGATAGAATTGGATAGAATTATAGAAAGCGCCTTTCACGCGGCAAAGTCGGCAAAAGAGTTAAGGCGCCACAAATGCTGTAGCTGCTTGCTGCTATTTGCTGCTACTAGCGGTAATTTGATAACATCTCCATCTCTTTCTCTTTTCTCTCTCTTTTTCTGTTGACATTTGATCCAATCGTTTCAGCTATGTTTCTTCCTAACTAGCCTAGATGCTTTTATATTTGGAACTTGGCGAGAGGTACTTACAATTAGATAGTATGTGTGCAATACAACGTGATTCTCGTCATGTGCAATATCTTCAGTGCAATATCTCCCGCAAATATCTTATCACGAGTAAATTATGACATATGCGCTTGTTTATTAACATCAAGATAAATTGCCATCTGTAAATAAAATATCGCGCCTGGTGCATTTGTAATTTGCCACAAGACGTCCGGTCTTTGGGCACATCACGAGCATTTCAACACGATGCTCACAGAGACGAAACAGAAAATCAATGTAACTTTGTTATTTATTTGTACCGGCTTGGTATTAGCTTGATATGATAGAAGGAAGAAAGGATGGAGAGAGCTAGGAGCAGCCAGGAATACCTACAAGATGTTAGCGCCAATTGATGCGGATAACGGCACTTGTACCGTGGCACTTTATGCCAAATACTTGTGTCAAACCGTGTAAATCTGATGATAATTTTTTTGAACACGCTGGAGCACGCGGTGACCGCGTCACGAGGGAACGCGAGGGAAAGAGCAACGATGCACCTGAATGCACCGGAGCCGAAGCCGGGGAGGTATAGACCGGTGAGAAAAAGGAGAGAAAGAGAACAGCGTGTCTATTAACGACACATAACGTACTTACGCACGAGCAAAAGTCCGTTTCAAGCGTTTCCCGAGGCTCGCCTTGTGAGTCTCGAGGAGTACGTCTACATCATAAACGTGCCGCGAAATCTCGATGGAAGACTTCCAAGATTGACGCAATACGGACGCGCTGCAGCATCGATTAGCACGGACGGCGAAACGAACAATCTCTCTCTCTCTCTCTCTCTCTCTCTCTCTCTCTCTCTCTCTCTCTCTCTCTCTCTCTCT